TTCTTTCCTAGCCCTCCCTGCGCTCTGATCTCCTCTGGCTGATGTGCTGATGAGCGGTACCTCATGTTGATGGTTCACCTCTCCATGGTTTTTACCTCCTCTATGGGGACTCCTCTGCCCTGGGGGCTGTGACCATGGCTGTCTCGCTACCCTCAGCACCAGCAAAACCAAACCACTTGCCATCAAGTTCATTCTGATTCATGGCCGGCCCATGGGTGGCAGAGCGGCCTTTGCTCCGTGAGGCTGTCGCAACTGGGATGCTTTGGAAGTGGATCACCGGACCTTTTTGTCAGGCACCGCCAGGCAGGTTTGAACCTCCAACCTTCCCGTTAGCAGCCGAGCACTTAACCATTTGCACCACCCAGGGACCTCCTCAGCTCTGTGTCCAAAAGAAAATTAAACCCACTGCCATTAATTCTGATTCACAGCAAACCTACAGAACCGAGTAGAACTGCCCCACTGAGTTTCCAAGGCTGTCAGCCTTCACAGACGCACACTGCCTCATCTTTTGAACACTGCTAGGGGGTTCAAACTGCCAACCTTTTGTTTAATAGCCAAATGCTTTAACCACTGCCACCAGAGCTCCTTCTCTGGCTCCACAGGGCTGCAATTAAATCGTATGCACTCACTATTTGATAGAATGAGTAAATTACAAAGTTAGCCTATACTAACTTACCGGCGATTTAGTTCCAAAAACATCAGCCTCTTAAATCCCTCTAGAGCACAGTTGCACTGGGACACTCGTGGGGTCACCAGGAGTTGGAATCGCCTGGGTGGTGGTTGGTTTTTTGGGTTAGGAGGCAAGGAGTCCCAGGGGGTACCAGTGCTTACTGCACTCAGCAAAGTTGAAAGTTCAAATCCATCAGAGGGACCTCAAGGGAGAGGCCTGGTGATTGCCTTCTGAAAACACCGTGGAGCACACATGGGGTTGCCCCGAGTTGGAACGGCCTTTACAACCCCGGGTTATACTTTCCACAGGCTCATTACTTAAAGAAAGGTGACAATTAAACCACAGATCACGCCCCTTGCCCTAGAAACCCTATAAAACCCAGAAAAACCGACCCACTGCCAGAGTCCATTGTGTCTCACAGCAACCCCACAGGACAGAACACAATGACTCTAGGGTTTCTAAGGCTGTAAATCTTGTGATATACACTGCCTCGCTTCTCTCCCACAGGGCGGCTGATGGGTTTGAACCACCGACCTTATGGTTAGCAGCCAAACGCTTTCACCACTGAGACACCACAGCTCCTTACAGCGACCCTATGTTGTTGTATAGGACAGACTAAAACCGTCCTATAGGGCTTCCAAGATTGTAAATACACATAGTCCTCCCTCAGAGACGCTGGTAGGGTCGAACCGCCAACTTTTCCATTAACAGCGGACTGCTTAACCACTGTGCCACCAGGGCGCCATACCCAAAGTAAAAGAGAAAGCGAATTCGTGGGTAAGTGAGTATGGGTTTTGGTGTATGAATGTGCAAAACAGGCATGGAATGTCAAGGCGACAGATTGGGGAAACCGACTGCAAAGCTTAAAAACACACAGTTCAAGCGAGATCTCAGGGTTAAATATTTGGCGCTGACAGCTGTAAAGACTTCTTCGTCCAGGCCTGCTTTCAAAATCTGGTCAGAGACTGTTGGCAGTGCTGACGCTTCCTAACTACCCCACCACCCTCCGCCGCCGGGGACGCTGCGTTACTGCCTGCGCCCTCGCAACCACCCGAGCTGGCTTCTGCAGCCTCAGACACCGCGCACCCTCCGGGAGCCCGGA